ACACTTTTATTTGTAGGACAGCCATTCTTCAAATATAATTTTTTTATACATTTTTCTAAATATATATTTTTACATAATATTATTAATAAATAACTGCTTCACTGATTATTATTTATTATTTTAATAATGTTTCCAACCATATCGAATTATAAATTTGTAAACTATTTTTTTTTGTTTACGAAAGGCTTGATATATAAAATACATAGAAAATAAATAATAAATAAAAGAATATATATAAAAATAAATTAAATATTATTAAATTAAATATTTTTAATAAAAAAATAGATTTTTTAAAAATATCTTGACACTTCCAGAAGTATAAGTGTCACTTCTCACACATTACATTGTTCCATTAAGAAATGACAAAAGAGTCATTTACAAAAAATTGACACTGGAAAGATTTTATGTTTCTTTTTCTGAGCTCTTTGAGTATTTTCGTCCTCAGTTCAGAACAATGAAAACAAACAGGCCATCACCCTTTCCAGACAGAGAGGATGGCAACCAGATAAATTGCCTGAAGTCTTTTAAAATCCCTATTTAATGTGAAAGCATCTCCTGTTTGGATACGCAGATGCTATTCTTAAAGTGAAGAAAAACATCCATGCTCAGTCCAAACATGTGTGAGTGATCCAGACAGTCAGGGTTGAGTTGATGGTGTGGATGTTGAGGGCAATGCAGGCGTACAGACTGAACCTGTCAGGTCGGAGCCGGGGTAGGAGACGAGACGGGTCGGGTCGGGTCGGGGGGAGGGAGAACAAAGGACACGCTCACAACAATCACACCCGCAGGAACAGGAAGGCCCCTCGGGAGCTCGCGGATGGCAATCTGACCTGGGCAGTGTTTCCGACGGCTAAACCCAGCAAGAGCTGACCTGCCTCCAAAGCGTTTGGCTGGTTTCCCACAGCCTGGTCATAGCAGAAATGCACTGTCTCTTTGGTTTTTTGACTGGGGTGAGAGGAACGGAAGAGATGGGATTTGCGTAATATAAGGAAACTGGGTGAAGAAGTGTGCATGGAAGAGTATGAGTGGAAAACCACAGCAGCCACATCACCGCTACAGAACTAAAAATTGTCCAAAAGGAAATAAGGGCCTACCATTAAAGTCTATTAATATTATTGAAAAATGACTCATACATGTATGAGGTTTTCCCCATGCATTCTTGTTTTCTGTTCCTTTTTTGGTTTATTTTTGCTTGTTTGCTTATCTTTATCATTTTTTTTTTTTTTACATTAGTATACTGCATTGCTGTCACATGACCCTATCAAAGAACAACTGTGTTGCAGTTTTTCAAAATTCGATTTGACATTTTAAAAATTATTCAAAAATACTTTTTTAGTGCAATTCAGGTTCATTTTTTTGTTTTGCAAACTGAGCACATTGCATTGTGGGGTTGTAGTGGGACTTTAACAGTGTTATTTTAGTATCACTGAGATACTATCATCGCTCTTTTAGACATTATTTTAAATTTGCTTTTATTTTTACATTCTCTATTTTCATTGTCATTTTAGTGAACGTTTTAATAAAGTTTGTAATTTTGTTGTGTGTTTTTGACATTTTTCTTAAATGCCTATATCATTTTTGTTCATTTTTTTATATCAGTTTTAGTTAGATCATTTTAAATATTTTAATAAAAATGAGAACTAGCTGAGAAATAAAAACAGTTTACTTTTTTAATATCAGTTAACGTATATTTTATTTGAAGTAGCTGATTTTTTAATGGTTTTAGTTAATCATAATTACGCTGTACTACACATTTTAGTAATCTATCTTTCAGATGTATTCCATAAGCACCAAAATTATGCATAATAGCATACACCTATGCAAATAAAAGAACAAAACGTAGGGTTGTCATTTCTCCATTGGGATTTGGTTGTATTCTAGATGACATCAGTTAAAAAGGATCGCCATTCAGTAAAAACAAGTTATTATATTATGATGAGCAAAATCACATGTTTGTTTCTAGAATAATGCACATCAATAAATTGTTCACACGAAGACCATGACCGTGTAAGCCTGTTAAGAAAGCAACTTTAAGTTCGGTTTAGCAGTTCTGGAAATTCTGGACACATTAATTTTCATCTGCATGTGAAAAGAAGCGATTTTGAGCATTTAAAGCCCCTAGAAAGATGCACACCGAATGAATACTGAAAGAAAAATTCACAAGGGGATCGACTTTATGCAACATTACTGTGGTTGAAGCCACAGTGAACGACTAAAAGCGTGTGGTCGCAGTTATAAAGTGAGTTTAAAGTCTCTGGAGTCAGCAACTGACTTCCTCCCGATGAGCTTCACAGCTACATCTGGTTCTCCGGCTCTGTGCACACACGCAATGCTCGTGTACTCGTGATTTAGATACCGCTTCCTCCACAGGTTGACAGTCAGTCCCTATCTAGAGACTCACCAACCACTGCCTCTGACTTCAAAGTCACAGCTCTCCTGTTCTCTGGCAAACCCATCTGAGCTCTGCTGACATGCTGCTGTTTTCATATTTCCAGATTTTTATCAAACTTCCCCTTGAGGAAAACGACCGTTATTGAAATCTAAAGCTTTAAGCTTAAAATTAGTTGTTGGGGGATTTGAAACTAATACCACAAACTGAAGCACGCAATAACGTTCAGATAAAGAACTATGCAGATGTAGTGTATTCATCTCTTGAACAATCAGTACATACTGATTCAAAATCACTTTAGTGCACATATCACGTCATGGTTGCAACTGGATTGTTTTATAAACATCGCTGAATTCTGTCATTTGTGATCCTGGACTACAAAAACCAGTCATAAGGGCCAATTTTTCAAAATTGAGATTTATACATCTGAAATTTATAAGCTCTCCATTGATGTATGGTTTGTTAGGATAGGACAATGTTTGGCCGAGATATTTGAAAATCTGAAATCCAAGGGTGTAAAAAAATCAAAATATTGAGAAAATCGCCTTTAAAGTTGTCCACATGAAGTTTTTAGCAATGCATATTACTAATCAAAAATTAAGTTTTGATATATTTACGGTAGGAAAGTTACAAAATATCTTCATGGAACATGATCTTTACTTAATATCCTTTTGGCAAAAAAGAAAAATCGATAATTTTGACCCATACAATGTATTGTTGGCTATTGCTACAAATATACCCCAGCGACTTAAGACTGGCTTTGTGCTCCAGAGTCACATTTCAACACATTTATTTTGTATAATTGTTTAGAACCTTGAAGGGCAAAGTGGTAGTTTTCATTCTGAAAACATTATTAAATTACTTTGTTTTAAAATATTTTATTATTAAGCCATTTTTTTTTTCTAATCAAGAAGGATTAGAAAAGTTCAACAGGTTATTAAATCATGTGCTGTATATGTGCTGTTTTGGTTAAAAGCATCTGTTAACCTATTTAATCCCACCGGTAACATTTGTGGCTCAAAATTTAACTTTAGAGTTTGAAAGGTCAAAAAAAAAAAAAATCTCTCTCATATATATACACACACACACATATACATACATATATAAACAATAATAATAAAATTAATTAAAAAGGTCAGATGTATTAAAGCGATTAACTTCTTAAGAAAAGTTATGCAATGTTTCATTGGGCTATATGAGTAAAATGCACTTATACAATACAGTGGGGGAAAAAACATAAAATGTCACATGTAACATCTTTCAAAGACGCATCCCACTATTACACTACAAAGACAAACTAATGTATTGCCCTCTAGTGGTTACACGGTTAGCTGCAGACAGGTGGCAAACAAAGCAACAAATATTACTTCTAACCACGATTAAAATATATTTCTAAGCAATTTAAGAAACAAAGTACCATGTCAATGAGCAGTCATGCTTGGTTGCACAAAACATGCACTCTGTATTGGTTCAGTACAATTTTTACATAAATTAGTATTTATTCAGCAAGGATGCATTACATTGATCAAAAGGGACAGTAAAGACATGTATATTACAAAAAGATTTATATTTCAAATAAATGATATTCTTTTAAAGTTTATATTAATCAAAGAAAAAAGGTATAATCTTTTTTTTTTTTTTTTTTTAAGCTGCTGAATATTCAGTTTAGCCGTCACAGGAATAAATGACATTTTAAAATATATTACATTTTTAAAAAAACTGTTATTTTAAGTTATGATATTTCGCAGTACTACTGTTTTTTGATCAGATAAATCCAGCTTTGGTGAGCAGAAGATATTTCTTTCAAAAACACTAAACTTTTGAACTTTATTTTTTTCAGTCCTTTGCATATGCTAATTGTCACTTTGTTTAATTCCAACACTAAAAGCAGTAGCCTGGAACAGTGGGGGAAAAAAATATTTATTTTTGAGATTTAGAAAAGAAAAAGGTTTTCACAATTTTAAACATGGGTCAAAATACCAAATATTGACAAATGAAAAAGTAAAACCAACAATCTAACAGCAAACAAACAATATCCAAATGAACTCCTAACAGACAATCAATTGGACACACTCTGCAGCAATGTGATGTTGTCTCCTTTCAACATAATCCGCCCTATTGGAGAGATAAAATATGTTTAAAGTCATATCGTACTTACATCAAACAAAAGTTATTTCTCAGAAACGCATGACTCGCCAGTATCGCAAAGTTCACACTTACCCAGTGGCTTCCTGTTCTTGGTCTTCATGTGAACCTCCTCTGCATCATCCAAAACCAAGTTCATATACTCATCAAATCCCTTGAAACATAAACAAAAAGCAAATATGAGTTCTTTATTCACATGCTTGCATGATATTGTTCCCAAAATTATCTGTAAAGATGAAAATGAGCTGTGTGGAAAGAGTAAAGTGTGTTAACGGTAAATTTGAGACTTGCTAGGTTTACTCACAATGATGCAGCCTTCTATCCGCATGTTGACCTGTTCATACAGCCAAACCTGGATTCGAGAACGCTGCACAGAAAGGGAAAAAATATTAACAACTCGTCATTTAGATTTTTATTTTGAACTTTTAATTTATATTAGATTTTTAACTGGTCAATTAGATTTTTATTTTTATGGAGGATGATAAATACAAAAACGCTGCAGGTAAACGCTGTTCTAAAAATGTATAACCAAAAAAAAAAAAAAACAATAGTGGAAACCAGAAACCAAAAATGCATGGAGAAACCTCACATTTCATCAACACTTAATAATACATAATTAACTAATATATATATATATATATATATATATGCATGTTAAATATACTAATAATATACACAATAAAATAATTAACTTACATTCTGTAGATACCTGAAAATAAGGTTCTGAAGGTGTAATTAAGGAAACAAACAAATATTAACAATAACATTATACTGATATCAAATATTACCCATGAATAATTTAAAAAAGCATTTTTCATTCATTAGTAACGTTAAGTAACCGATCAGCAGGACAAAAACAAACCTGATGCAAACATCTCAAATACTGATCAAAGATATAATTAAAGAAAAAAAATCATGCAATTCATAATACAATATGTAATACAATACAACATTATTAATATTACTAAACCAAAGTATATCAATACAACGGGAAAAAAGCCAATCCAGTTCTGCGTTCTGAAGGATACAATGGGCTGCACCATGACCTTCTGAACCTTCTGTCCTTGTCCTCTGTACGCCATTCTTTCAAGCAATATCCAGATATTTTTTAGAAGAAGGTGATCAATGTAAAATTAAATGCAATAGTTACTGGCGCGGCAACGAAAATCTCACGTTGGTTGCTGCTGTTTCAATGGCGGCGCAATTCCGGAAACAGAATGACGCAGATAAAACGACGTGTTGATTATATGCTACGCCTCTTGTGGCCGGGAGACACATTACAGACTGGTGGATTCACACAAAATATTTTTATTGCACAGAACATGTTACATAATACACGACTGTAAAAGCAGTTATATATATGCACAACCAATTATATGTGATTGTCCAATAATTCTACACGTTTTTTTCACCATTTTAAATCAGCGTTTGCTATCACTAGTTCATTATAAATGTCTCTGTGTTGTTACATATTAATTTTTAAACGTAAAAATGTTAAATATTGATATGCTGATATTGCACGAAATTTTAAGCTAGCAATATCTACAACTTGTGTAGTTTTCAGGACGTGCTACACAGATTGTGTGAAGTAATACGCATGTTTCTGCTCGGTCAGCGTGTCAATTGTTGTTGTTTTAGAGGCGTTCAGTGGTGAGTGACTTAGCATCGGGCCAGCTCCAAACTACGAGTGATTTTTATTTATTAAGACAATATTTTCATTTATCTTTAAAGGATGTTTTTATAGTGAAAGAACTGTTTGAAGTTGAGGTTATATAATTATATATCTGCTGAGCTTCTGTAACGTTATCTTTAGCCTGGCTAACAGTTAGCCTAGCTTAGATTGTTGTCAACATTGTCTTTTATATTATTAAACACCCAATACTTTTGCTTAGGTGAGAAAAAAATAAGGTTAAAAAGTTTTAAATGAATAATTATATACGCATTTATTGCGTTTATTATTTTGTTCAGCTGTAGTGCTTTTGTTTTTTTTCAAGTACTCAGTAAATCTATTATATCTAGTTATACTGGAATATATATTTTAATGCCGTTATCATATTCCTCGTTTCTTTCTTTATTTTTTATGTTTATGTATTCATATACTGTGTAAATACGTGCACATTTCCACCTGTTATTTAAATGAAATGGCCATTGCTTTACATGGATGATTTTTCTATATTTTTAGTCTTATAAATTTATTGTTGCATATGTCCTTGTTTTAAAGCCAAAATATAACTGCTTCTAAACTTCATATTAATTTAGCTCATGCACTTGTTCTGTGTTCAGAACTGAACAGGTACATGATGCTGCGTCTGCGTTGCAAAGCCAAGAACGGGACCCATCTGATGCAGGGCCTTACACACCAATCATGTGTTCAGGAGCTTAAAGATAAGATCGAGGAGCTAACTGGAATACCATGTGATGTACAGAAGATCATGGTAGGCTATCCACCGTCCAGCCTGGATCTACGCAATGGTGAAGCCCACCTCAAAGAATACCCTATCAAATCAGGTTTGGGTTTGCTTTGCATTGCGTGATCTTTACACTTGATTTATTTGCAATGTGCTACAGGAATAGTTGACCCAAAAATGAAAATTTGTTGCAAATGTACTCGCACTCAGGCCATCCAGGATTAAGATGAGTTTGTTTTTCATCAGAACAGAGTTGGAGAAATGTAGCATTACATCACTTGTTCACCAATGGATTAGGGCTGTGTATCACCGGCAAAGTCACGGTACGATACGTATCACGATACAAAGGCCACGATATGTATCATGATACGGGACTGCACTGAATTTCACCTCAGCAGAATTTAGTAAAACAGCTGTTTAATAAACACTGCATACTATAGGGCCATTTCTAACTATAGGCAGAGCAGGCAGTTGACCTCTGCGTTATAAAGGGCCTCCATAACTGTACCATAGGCAGGCTACAATATAAGTAATGGCGTATGTTTCATGTTAACATTGGGCACTCTCCACCAGGTACAATATTCTGATTGTTTGCATCTTGATTTTAGGCCCATAAATAATAATGTATTCGTTCTATTGTAATGTACTCATTCTAATATATAAAAAAATCATATTTACATTGCTGGTAGGTTATCATTGCACAAATTAACTCTCTCTACGTTTAAAAGCATCATCTGAGGTCCTCTGAGGGGTTGGCATCATCTCTTCTCAGGTGTTCTGGATCCAGACTGAAGCTTGTGTAAATCCTTGTTTACCACGGGATGTCAATCCCGTGGCAAAAACAGAGAAACAAATAGGGACATAATTAGCATAGCTGCTGTTCCAAACAAGCAATTTTAGGCCCATAAATAATAATGTATTCGTTCTATTGTAATGTACTCATTCTAATATATAAAAAAATCATATTTACATTGCTGGTAGGTTATCATTGCACAAATTAACACTCTCTACGTTTAAAAAAAATAAAAATAAAAATTAGAAGCATTCTAAACTAATGTGCTGTCTTCACTGTAGCTCACAGCACATTCAGCAACACAGAAACTTCTCAGCGCTGCCCTGCAATTTTATCAATAAAATAGCTTAATCGCTGAAGAGCTACATTAGCTTTCTCAACAAGATAGTGGAAATCAATTGCTTAATGAGTGTTTAATAATAATGTATTAAATAGTGGTAGGCAGGCTATAAGGAGGGCTTTGTTGTCCCAATAAGGCAGCATCTATTTAATCATTTTAATAAATAAAATCATTTAAAATATTTTTTTCTCGAAATGTAACTATTTTTTTCTCATAATTTAATGAGTTTATTCTCAACATTTTATTTCAACGTTTTTCTCGAAATTTATCCAAGCTTTTTTCTCGAAATGTAACAACTTTTTTCTCTTACTTTTATGAGTTTATTCTCAACATTTTATCTCGACTTTTTTCTTGAAATTTAATTACTTTTTTCCTCATGATTTAATGAGTTTATTCTCAACATTTTATTTCGAATTTTTTCTCAAAGTTGAACTAGCTTTTTTTTCTCAAAACTTAGTGACTTTTTTTCTCATAAATTAATGAGTTTATTCTCAACCTTTTATTTTGACATTTTTCTTGAAATTTAAAGAGTTTAATCTCATATTATAATGACTTTATTCTCGAGATGGTTTTATTTTTTGATTATTGCTTTGCGCTAATCCTCTTCCTCGTATTTTAGCCATAAGCAATGTTTTGAAGTTAAAACGTCTTGATGGATTTATTTATTACAAACACGCAGCTTGTGGATTAGTAAAATTGTTGTGATGTTATCATCAGCTGTTTGGTCTCTCATTCTGGCGGCACCCATTCATTACAGAGGATCCATTGGTGAGCAAGTGATGTAATGTTAAATTTCTCCAAATCTGCTCCAATGAAGAAACAAACTTATCTACATCTTGAATGACCTGGGGCTGTGGGTAAACTCTCAGCAAATTTTCATTTTTGGGTGAACTATTCCTTTAATTCTGTAGGCCTATTTATAAAACCATCTTGCTGATAGGCCTGTCGCGATAATTAATTAACCGTCTAATCGTGATTATTTGATCTAACCGCGGTTGACTATTGTGTCTTTTATACGAGACAAGGGGGAGTCATACACCAAAAGAAACAGAAGAGCACCAGTTTGTTTTTCATGCACCGTATAGCCTATACAGGGCTCCAGACTCATTCTTCCCACTGGTCGCTCTTTTGCAACTAACTTTCTCAGCTGGTGGCACGAGCACACTTTCTCAGCTGGTCGCAATATTTATTTATTTATTTTTTGCTCTACAACATGGGATTATTCAATGCATGCTGATGAACTTTTATCATAGTTTATAGTTATATGGAAATGAAAGTGGTTAACATTCAACCCGTTCTTTATCATCAGTAGTATTATTTGTGATTTAAATTTTGTGAATGGGAGTTTCTTTCTCTTTTGCTGTGTTAAACCAGCGGGCTTCGGATGCTTTCACTTAAAAAGAAAAGTAAAACTAACGGTGACAGTGCTTGCATGTTTTTTCCCCCACAAGAATGCCAGCATGTTCACCTTCTCTGGTTTAAGCAGTCTTTTACTTGACTTTCGCTTGAAAATCCATCGTTTCCTCGATATGCGCGTCATTTTTGCTGCGCGCAGCTTCTCGCTCGAGTCAATTATATAATGAAAGCCATAAAAACAGACAATTAATCGTGATAATTGGCATAATCGCCAAAGCCCTAAAACAGACAATTAATTGCAATAACCGTGACTATTTTTAGACAATTAATCGTCAGCCAAATTTCATAATCATGACAGCCCTACTTGCTGAGTTTCCTGTGTTGCTCATTGGTACGTTTATTGTTCCAGGAGACACGCTGATTGTAGAGGAGGAGAAGAACAAACCCAAACCCCAATCACAAACCACTGTGACCAAAAGGCCCAGTCTTGACCTGTCCCCGGTTATAGAGCGGCACGTCGTCCCTGCCGACAACTCTTGTCTGTTTACCAGTGTGAACTACGTTATGGAAGGAGGTGTTTACGACCCAGGCTGTGCGCCTGAAATGCGCGGGCTCATCGCACAGATTGTAACTAGTGACCCCACCGCATACTCAGAGGCAGTATTGGGCAAGACTAATGAGGACTATTGCTCCTGGATCCGTCGCGATGACACGTGGGGAGGCGCCATTGAGGTTTCAATCCTCTCGAAGTTCTACCAGTGTGAGATTTGCGTCGTTGACACTCAGACTGTGCGTGTCGACCGCTTCGGCGAGGATGCTGGTTACACTAAACGAGTGCTGCTAATATATGATGGGATTCATTATGACCCACTCCAGAAGGTGGTGCCCAATTCAGATATTCCTGCACAGACTGTGTTTTCCACCACCGATGACATAATTTTGGCCCAAGCGCTGGAGCTCGCCGATGAGGCGCGGAGGAAACGGCAGTACACAGACGTCAACCGCTTTGCTCTGCGCTGCATGGTGTGCCAGACTGGCCTGGTGGGGCAGAAGGAAGCAAGGGAACATGCCAAGGAGACCGGCCACACCAACTTCGGGGAGGTGTGACGCTCTTCGCTCTGTTTTTGAAATCCCCCCCACCTTTGCCGCGTCACTGCCACGCCACCTAACATGGTACCTGATCTTTCTCTGCTGCCTGTTCCAGCTTGGTACAGTCCTCTACCTCACATTGTTTAGCGGCTTCAGAAGACTCTCACATGTCGAGTTCCCCCAAGAATTCAGTATTCTTTTAACTTTGGTTTACTCTTGAGGTTGAAGTATTAAATGTGCTCTTGTTTTTGAGTCTGTTGCCAGATATGATGACAAAGCCGTATCTTCAAACCAAATTTTAAAGGGATTCTCCACTGACTACCTTATATATAATGATTACAATACTAGTATTAGGGTGAATTTCGCAAAACACATCCAGGTCATATTTCACTGCAGAATCAAAGAAGGAAAAAAAAACTGTATGAAATCACAATTCAAAAAATTATTTAAATCACGATTCAAAAAAATTTCTTTAACTGTTAATTATTAACAGGCATCTTAAGCTATATGTGTGTTTATAGTTGTTGATGCCTATTTTCATAATTCTCATTTAATATTAGTAATACAGTATGGTATTATAAATTATGAAGTATTTATACATAGTAGTATTACTATGTTAGGCTGCTTTTATATTTTATAGCAGTCATTTAATTGGAAAATAAGTTACTGTATTACATCTAATAATTTAATGAAAATGTCATGAAAATGATGTTAAAAATATCTTAAATATAATGTCTTTTTTTTTTTTCACTGTTAAATGTGACCTAGACGTGTTTTCGTGAGATTCACCCATGACCTCATGTAAACACTTTTCTGTTGCCTGCAGCTCAAAGATGTGTGAGTAACAGCTGTTTGACAGTGCTAGCTAAACTCTTGGTAGTATCTAACAAATAACAAAACTTTAAACGAGTGATCGCATAAGGCGTAATTGATCATTTTTAACAATTAATCAAATATGGTAATCTTTTCACACACACAGTGCTTCTGTGGCCAGAGTAGTATTGAAAAAAACGGTGGAGCACAGCTAAAAACATGCCTTTCATGATATCTAATTTAATCATGGCATTACTGTATTTATTATATTATCTGTCTTTTTAAGGTCCATACGCACAGCTTCTGAACAATCGATGGCACTACATGAAGTCTTAAGTTCACTTGGCTCCATTGTACCTGTTACTTGAAATACTCACATAGATCAAGTGTCGACTCAGAATACTCGATGCGATTTTTACACATTTTCAGTAAGCTAGTTAGAAAGAAAGCGTGGATTTGAAGTTGAAGTGGACAACAATGGTGCTGATAGTAGAATCTCACTGAACTACTTTGTGAATCTGTAGATTTTGTTTTTCTTTTAAGGGTACTTGTGTATTTTCTGCAAATGACCACGCAAGATTGTTTTATGCAAAACGTGTTTATTCTCTCTCAAGTGACTATGACATATTGTTAGGAAGAGTGATTGTAGTGATTTTCATTTTACATTTTAAGTGATGAAATGTGTCATATTGAACATTTTCCTGCTTACAGAGCCGATATTAGAGGTTTAGTGTAGCAAAGTATCATAGCATTAGAGTGTGGATGAACTTTAGAGAGAAAACATCTTGTAAGGCCTGATGATGATGATGTACATTCTCAGTATTTTTCAGTCAGGTACTATCCACACTGTTGTTTACTTGTTTGCAGCCCTTTTATTTTGAAGAAATGGTGCCATTGTAAGGCCAAAGGACTTTATTTTGCAGTGCTTTTTCTAAATGGCTGTGATCAGTGTTACACTAAGGAGTGAGAAACTGCATGTACAGCAATCAAAATCACTGGTTATACTGGGTAATGATAAATAAACTTGAATTGATATATATAAATATTCTTTTATATTTTTTGCCTAATTGTTAACTAATTAGTGTGGTTTACTAAAGCAAACATTACTACTACTCCCAAACTTTAATGTTAGTATTAAACTTTACCAAGCAATTTGTTCCATAACTCCTATTTAACCAGGAACCCCAATGTTGATTTCATCTTGAATGCCCTAGAATTAGAAACCGCCTAGCAACAACACCCAACACACTTAGCACGGCCAACCAACCTATTGTAGTTTTGCGCAGACAAGTACAACTCTATATTCTTTAGAAAATGTAAAAATGTTGTTTGCATATGGCTTTTAGCATTTATTTCTTAAACTAGCATCTATTTTGTTACAAGAAATTATTTTAGAATTACTAATATATAATCTACAAACAATCCTGTACCTCATTCACTACATAGTACTTACTCCTTAGCAATAGTGACTAAATGGTGAGTAATTGAATATATAGACTACTATCACATCGGAATAAGAACTAATGAGTAGTTACTAGTCGTGATTGGATTTTTTACAGTAGTTTATGGTACCACTACCATAAAACGTGTTAGTTTAAAGAAATAAATATTAAAACCGATTGAATAGTTAGTCACAATTGGATTTCTTCGAGTAGCATAAGCACCAGTAGTAGATAAAACCTTAAAAGTGAATTTTAAGGAATAAATGTTAAAACCGATTGAATAGTTAGTCACAATTGGATTTCTTCGAGTAGCATAAGCACCAGTAGTAGATAAAACCTTAAAAGTGAATTTTAAGGAATAAATGTTAAAACCGATTGAAGAGTTACCACACGATTGGATTTCTTATTAGTAGGAAGTACCTTAAAAACTAATTAGTTTTGAGAAATAAATGTTAAAACTGATCGCTTGTATGTGGTGTGAAAACATAGCCTAATGAATCCCAGTTAGTGGAACAGGATCAAATCAGTTCCATTTGACGGGGCTTAAACTAATGTTATTTTAAGAAACCCTTAATAACGCGATTAACCAGGATTTGCCGGTGATCCTCTCTTGACACTTTCTGTCATCGTTTGTTTGTCATTCCAGGCGTGTGCAGAGAAGTATGTGTAGTTAAGTATATACTAAGCGTTTTTCATATGTATTTTCCCGTCACTAAACTACTGTTTTTACACGAACGTTCGTTTTTTTCTCTACACTCACCGGTCTGTTCTCTGATTGGCTGCTGCAGGAGAGAGACGCAAATGATTGGTTGATTTTCCTTATGTACAGTACTGACACCTCACTGTACCTCACAGCACTGACACTGTAGAAGCACGTGAACCTGCTGGGCTGCCATCTCGTTTCTGCACTAGAGGTAAGCTTTTATTAAGGCATGCTTCAGGATTCATATATTTATTTCTGCATATAAGTATTCTTAAGATTTTAATTAAAGGGAAAGGCAAATTATAACAGAATTTTAACCAGAGATGAATAGAAAATGAATTATGCAATTGTAAATAATGTGATGAAATGTATCAATTAAAATCAGATTTAAATAAATATACACGCTGTTATTTACTATAGCCTATTATTTGTCTTACCCAGGTGTTAAACACTGAATTCATTTCTAGTGTAGTCTGATACTGATAGTTTCACATACCCTTAAAGTAAATAACTAGATAAGTGTGCTTTCTTGTGTAATACAGGTCATACATGTATAATAAAGTCATTTCAGTGTTATTATGATCATAGATTATTTCTCTAGAACTGCATAAAAGACGATGGTGTTTCAAAGCACATATTAGTGTTGCAATTACAAAAAGAACCAAACATTTGATTAGCAGTATGTTATTAAGATTATATAAACTAGATAAAAAAGGCCAGTGGGTTTATTATGTCTGTGGAAATGGACTTTGCTTCTACACTCATTGTGATATGGCTTACTGATTACAGTTCGATTATTGCAGATCAACTTTTAAAATATAATGATATTTTGACAGATTTGAAAACAAATGTTGTGCTATACTGATGATAGTTTCATTTTTCATTCAACTGCAAATCCACAAAGAAATCCTGTTTGCTGTTACATTTGCATTGTATCCTACAACAGATTTGAAAACAAATGTTGTGCTATACTGATGATAGTTTCATTTTTCATTCAACTGCAACTGCTTCATTCATCTATCCACAAAGAAATCCTGTTTGCTCTTACATTTGCATTGTATTGTAATTGTAATCACTGAAGGAAAAAAATGCGTTATCATCATTCACGTCATATGCAAATTTATAACAGTGAGAGCCTTTTACATGACTAATAAAACAAAGTGTATTGACATTGTTCTTGCTGATCTTTCATAAGGTGTACATATGAAACCATTTCTGTAGTACAAAATATTAAAGAATTAAACTTGATGAGCAGAACTTTTTGCACATTTAACATTTTTGTCTATTTAGCATTGTGCACTCTGAATTGGAGGTCAAAGTTTTGCTTTAAACCAACCGATGGTTCACTATCTTCCATTCATGCCGGACTTGATCCAACTAAATAAGCTCAGAGTAACGTCTGCTGTAATCTCATTCACATCATCTGATCATTTAATATACCGTACACAAAAATACAAATAATTCCTGGCTAATTTAAGTTCATGTATTTACAATTTTAATTGCTTTACAATTTCCACTATTATTACTAATATAACCAATTCTTGCAAAGGGTGCATATCAAGATGCTTGCTCAAGCATTTTTTTATATTCTCTTTTTTTAAAGGGAAATGCAGTTTCATCACCATTGTTAAAGAACTTTGAATTCATATCAGGGTGGAGGTTTCCATAATTTGCAAATGCCGATAAGTGTCATGTGGCAAGATGGCAAAGGCCTCGACACAATGGGCGAGATTGACAGTAATGGCAGCTGTGACAGCGTGGTCAGCTTCAATTCATGCTTCGTAAGACATACTTTTTTTATGAATACATACTGTACATATTGTTAAAATACATTTAAATACGCTATACATCTCCAGTTGTTTGATGTGTCTAGAAAACGTTGATAAAATATATTCAAGTGTTAGTTCACCAAAACATTAAAATTCTGTCATCATTTACCATGTCGTTCCAAACCACTATGATTTTCTTTCTTCTTTGGAAGATGATATTTTGAGGGTTGTTTTGGGCCCCATTGCCTTTAAGACAAAAACATTCTTCAAAATATCTTCTTTTGTGTTCTGAAGAAGACAGAAGAAAGTGCAAGTAGTACAAAGGTAAGTACCAAAATTTTTATTTAAATGGTACATATTTGTACCTTTTGAAAAGGTACTGCCCCAGTGACAACTTTTCTACCTTTTTTTCTGAAAGTGTAAGTCATACAGGTTTTGATCAAAATAAGGGTGAGAAGATGATGACAGAATTTTCATTTTTGGTTGAATTATCCCTTTAATAAACACACATTAAAACCCGTCCACAAATGCAAATAATTTATGTTTTAGAGTGATGAAAGTCTGGAGTATCTCTCTGCTGAGGAGAAGGCTTGTCTCATGTACCTAGAGGAGACCATTCAGTCACTGGATACGGAGGATGACAGTGGCCTGTCCAATGATGAGACTGATCAGCTGCCAGCTCGAGGAAATGTGGCTAACAAAGCGGCCCACCTCTTTTCGTCAACAAGACTCAGCAAGGTTCCTAGTCAAGGTGTGTTGTTGCTCATGTAGTATTTATAACTACTATTGCCTATAATGCAGTAAAATATATTTTCTTTTATTGTCTGTAGATGTACCCAAAAGCCAATTTGAAGGTCCATTCTCATCTAGCAGCTTAGTGCAAAATGACATTCTGAATTATATGGTTCCTACTCCATTTGTCCTTGCAGACCACAACTCACAAATCCAAACCAGACCTGAAATAGCTGCATCCCAGAAAAAGACGGCACCCAAAGTGGCTTGTGAGCTCCATCAAGAAGCTCCACGGGTTCCCTCTGAAGTCAATGTGGTACTGATACCACCTCCACATAAAATCAAAGGCGGTAAAGACATAGTGGAAGAACAACAGAATAAACATCAGCCAGAGAATGTGGCACGTAGAGGACCACTCTCGTATGAGGCTCTGGTGCATCTGCGCAAGAGTGCATCGATGTGGAGAACCAATGCTACAGAAGCCAAAACCGGAGAACAGCAGTTTTCTACAAATAAAGATCCTGAGGGAGGCATCTCTGGATCCCAAACTCTCACACAGGCCATGACAAGTAGGAGCTCCAAGCCCACTCCTCCACCTGTGGCCCCTAAACCTAAAATGAAAACCCCACACAAGGTCCCAGTGAACCAGGAAGAAGCCTCCAACCCTAAGATCGACTCAACCATGCCTTACTCAGGAGTATTGACAGTGGATAAATTAATGAACCCAGAGAACGTAAGAGTGGAGGCTCTTTGCAAGTTGGGTCTCCTCAAGGAGGATACAAAGAACCCAATCTGTCAACGACTAAAGCATTCAGAGTCCCCAGCAAACTTGGTGCAAAACCAGACCACAAAGGAATGTCTTGCTCCAAATCAGCCAGTACAAACTTGCAGTCCTCTCCACCAAAGGTCTGTGAGCGATCTTTCGCCAGCTTCTTCTTTTCCACAGTATGCCAATATGGCTTCAACCAGGAAATCTGCTACACTGGAACGCACTGGGATGGGACTGTCAGGATCTAACATCACAGTCTTAAATGCAGTTTCTCAGAACCACCAATCAAGTTCTTCTACAGTAGGAACCAAAAACCATTTTACAGACACACAAATGGATTCTAATGAATCGGCCTCCATAAAAGCAGAATTGCATGCATCATCTCGTTCCAAAGGCTTCAATGTGTCGGTTCCTAGCATCGGAAGGGATCGGAGAGAGGCATTACGAAAACTAGGATTGCTGAAAAACTGAGATTTGTTGACTATTCTCTCCAGTCGTGATATATCAAATAATGCTTCTGGGTCTAAGGCTCTTTTCCGTTTTAAGTGAGAATACCATTACAACAGACATTTATGAGCACTGTTCATTCTCACAGTGTAATACCCGGTCTCATGGTGTCCTGGAGACCAATATTTAAAAAATTTTTAAAACAATAATCACTCTGTAGCCTACTAAGATTGGGGTATGGAGATAAAAATTAGGTTCATGATTTTCAGTAGGACTGCAGCACACACTGAGTGTATATTATCATTGTTTGTTGTTTGCTTTTGGCATCTGAAGAAGCGTTTGGACCATAGACTGTATGGTTTGGACCCAGAAACTGTGGCACATGACGTCTGACTTAACAACCAAATAATAAAAGTGGAGTGTGCAATTTTATAATGTTAAAAGCCACTGGTAGGCTGATTCCTCAGAAAAATGTAAAAACATACTGACCAACATCAGCTCAACCAAGTGCCACACTGTATTACAACTCAACCAAGTAATACAGTGTGGCACTTTACCTTTAGTCCATTAATTACTGATTCTAAATAGTGACTATAACAAATGGACGCCTTCGCGATAATAGAGTATGTTTACTTTTCCAGGTGATCCTAATAACTTTAATTTGGAACTAGACCTAAGTAGATGCTCCAAAATCCTGCTCCTTTATGAATCATGTCTATTTTGCTAATCAGTTGCTTCAGAAAGTCACTTCCTGTTTTTTTCCAAATACAATGGAGTGGGCTATATCTGCTTCACCAGAGACTGTTGAACCTGAGGAACCCAGGCTTCCAAAGATCAGCTATCAGTCAAACTCCTCATTTTACACACCGGTCAGTGAGATCTGACACAGCACTTCAGTGGATTAGCGCATTATCTTGAGTTGCAACCAACAGACTGGTGTTCATGTTACCTGGCCTCTCAGATTCATCTGTCATTAAAGTTCTTTATCTCGCAATGTGACCTAGTTCATGACTTGTACTGAGAATGGTTCCTTCTGTTTGTATTTACTCAGTTAACAGTTGCCCTTTGACAGCTGCTCATCTAACCAAATCCACACAATAATGCACATGGAAAGCAGCCATAAATTACGGCAATGTTTAACCACAGAACACACATGAATAAAGCAATAATTTCTTATTTGGTTTCAAGTTTGTCTGGTTGCTGTGCTGTATGATCATCAGATAGCAGAATATTATGCTTAAACTGTATCGAAGTCCAAGCACTGTGCTTTGCATAACCAACAATTTAAACCTTTACAACTGGTATGGTTGTGGTTGAAACCATGGTGAAAAATTTAACTGGTTCAATCCCAATGCAATTAGATTAATAAAACACATGTGAAAAAAATGAATCAGGTGATAAAAATTGTGAGCTTTGAAACTATGATAATGATTTTGATTAGCCCTCACACAGTTTGTGAGCAGGCTGTTAAAAAACTTTAACGTATCAGATGATACTCAGCTTGACTTTAGTGTGATAGTGCTTTTCTAGTGTTTTTTTTTTAACGTTTAAATATCAATTTCAAAATGTTTTTGTGGCAAACTGACTAATAATAAGAATAGCTTCTGTTTCTTTTGCCACGCTCACCTCCAAAACGTCTGTTCTCGGTACGAAATTACTTCAGCAACAGAGCTATCCTTCGTCGTCTTTTTCCGTTTTATGGCGGATGGCAAACCGCTTTTGGTGCTTATTCCACGACCTACTGGGATAGAGTGTGGAGCAATGATGTTGAGGGGGGAAAAAACATGTTCTTCTTAAATCCTGTTAATTAATCCTGTGTCTTTTATATATTTAACAGTATATTGAACACTCTCGCATCTTTATTTAATAGATTTTTCAATTAAAGTTTTATTTATTTATATCAGAGCTATCCACTGTAATTACGACACTTACATTTTTACTACAGCGAATTCCACTTATTGAACTGTAGGGGGCTCCAAAGTCGCACAAATTCACAAAGCGAATATGTATTTTACTTATCTATTCATTGCAGTGAAGTTAGGATTTAAATTTACCACACCTAATTGTTTCGAGTCTGGCTGCAAGAGGTTAATCACCAGAATGTGCACTAGAGAGACATGACACACATTCGGTTTTCCAAATTGAAGACAGCAACACAAAACAAGATTTGCAACCCATATGTTGATATTAGTCTATAGAACAAAAGTGAGACTTGATTTGATCCACTCACATTAAATGAGTTATATACTGTAAGTGGCCTAGAAAAATTTATTTTGTTTTACATGGTCTGCATGTTGAATATGATCAGCCATAACCATAATTATTAGACTACTTTCATTTGTAGGATAAATCTTAAAAAGGACAAACAGACTAGTTTTTCAGGTCAAAAATATTTATTTAATGATATAGACAGTAACGGACATTAAAATACCACAAAATGGGTTTTCTATGTTGAAAACTCTCAGTGCAAAATAAAACCAGAGCAGCACATTAGGTAGCATTATTTCTATTACTTCAGGTAGTATTAGTTAAAATTCCTATGGTTATACAGTGTTTCATGCCACGTTGTGTGACATTTAGAATTGAAAGTTAGGTCACAAAATTACCGTTTGTCATTAATCACTAATACAACAAAAATATCTTTATATATCTACATATGAATTAAAAACAGATAAAAGCAGCTTTAAAAGATAGACGTTCTAAGCTCTCATACGCAGGATTTGTCAAACCATGTCCAGTCAGTTGCTCTCAGTTGGGATGAGCGTCTTGCTCTTCTTGCGTTTTACTTTGCCATGTGCAGGTGGGACTCCAAGGGACTCCAAACGGAAGGGGCGTGGAAGGAGAGATTCCACGTTTAGAGGAGACAAACTGGACCCAACAGAGGTCTGGTGCACTGGACCATTACCGATTGAACCAGAATAATTCACTGTGAGAAAATGATTAGAATGATCAACATTTATAAACACAACCGTTGCATGAGTGAAACAAGTGAATATGAAAACGTAATGGTTTATATTAAATCAGTCTCTCACTTGTGTTTTTAATAGAGTCGCCAGCCAACAGCTGACTGCTCCGTTTTGGCTTGAAGTAGTTAGTGGCGATATGCTCGCTATCACTGCGGTTGAGCATTTCCTTGTAGCGGTCCTCCTCCTCTTCCTGCTAAAAAAGGGATTTGGACTCATTCAGACATGAGTCTAAGCTATGGATGTTTCTCATATTCATAAGAAATATTCTGTGGATCTAAAAGACTTTTCCACTTAGATTCAGATTACACTTAACCCAGGGTTAACATCTTTTTTTTAACCTAGGTTAAAATTTAACTCTGGGTTAAGAACAAAACTTATTTTGTATTTTTTATAGTGGGACAAGACTACTTTTAACCCTAGTTCATTATAAGAGCTTTTACAGTGCTAACAGAATTTCACTGCATTTGCGCCCAATGCTCACCTCTTTAAATATTCACGCACTTTGTACTTGTTACATACACTTCTTCTAACATGCTTTATTTAGTTTCAGCTAAGCAGTATAAAATGTCAAACAGTGAAAGCAAAAACATTAACTGGAATAAAGAGATGCATTATTATTATTAAATATGCATACATCACAAAAATATACAAATAATTAAGGTAACACAGGATTGCTTTAATCCAAGTTTAAAATGACCCTCAGACAGCAATTTCAAATGTAAAACCCCTATTATTGAATGTGGCACATGAATCTCGTATTAGTATATTTGTAGTGTATCTGTGTATAATTAAAGGGTTAGTTCACCCAAAAATGAACATTCTGTCATTAATTACTCACCCTCATGTCGTTCCAAACCCGTAAGACCTTCGTTCATCTTCGGAACACAAATTAAGATATTTTTGATGAAATCCGAGAGCTCTCTGACCCTGCATAGACAACACCACAACTGACAAGTTCAAGGCCCAGAAAGGTAGTAAGGACATCGTTAAAATAGTCCATGTGACATCAGTGGTTCAACTGTAATTTTATGAATGCTTCGATGCATACGTGTGGTGCTGCTGACGCAGGAGCCGGCTTTCTGACATAGAACCCGGATGCGCTGCGGCTTGTTTGCACATGCATGCGTCATGGTACTCTCGTGAACGTGAAGACTGACACGTAAGAGAAGAAACTGTTGAATAACGTCATTATTTTTGTTTTCTTTACACACAAAAAGTATTATTGTAGCTTCATAACATTACGGTTGAACCACTGATGTCACATGGACTATTTTAATGATGTCCTTACTACCTTTCTGGGCCTTGAACTTGTTAGTTGCATTGCTGTCTATGGAGGGTCAGAAAGCTCTCAGATTTCATCAAAAATATCTCGGTGAATAATTAATGACAGAATTTTCATTTTTGAGTGAACTATCCCTTTAAGTGTCAGAATAACTTGTTTTAATGGTGTCTGAATACCACAAAAGGGTCGGCAAGGTCTGAGGCAGAATTCCTGCGAGCTGAAAGTCTGCCAGGGACAATGGCACCTGAAGGAGGGACTGTAGAGCAAGAGAGAGAATATACCTTTAAATCACACAAGAACATTTGCTTTGCAACATGCACTATTTTCTGCAAAACAGTGACCAAGAACCACAGTTTTTGTCATCCATGAAATAGTATCATAATTATTTTATGGTTTGCTGTTACTGGTGACTCGTTTATTCTGAATCAATTTTAGTGCAGAACAAGTTTCTTTTGTTTTCTTCTATGATCACATTAGAAATTAGCACATAAAAGTATAGTGTATAAAAATTAACTGCGACTTTTACAATTGACTGAACAAAGATCATAAAGATTCTCTGACATTCCACAGCACTTCACCTGCAGGTAATGTCGTTTTCTGCACCACCACCTCTGGCAGTTTCCAGGTCCCTCCCTCTTCATCCCACACCGCCTCCTTCCGCAGCCGATCCAGGTTACTGTAGTTACAGTCTCTGCGCACCAGGGGTGCCATGCGCTCCAAAATTCCTTGAAGGAGCTGGCCTTCCCTCTCCAGACGCCGGATGGTGGCCAGATAATCATCTCTCTCCATCTCAAACTCTGCCTGAAGATCTCTGATCTCCAATTTGGCAGCTTTTAGCTGTTCATCACACAAACAGATGGTTGGACATTTTGGACTGGTTCTACAGTTTCATCTCGTTAGTGAAACTAGAAATCTAATCTAAAAGTAAGAAAAAGAAAAATATACTTTTTATATGCTTTTTTGGTCGATTTTAAATAATAGTTTCTGTACATTTAGCTAATAACTTCAAATAATATACATATTTTATTCAGAACTAAAGTAACAGTAAGTATGTAATAGTCAAATATTCGTATCATATCTAAATACTGAAATCTCTCACCTTCTTCTGCGTGTTCTCCAGGTGTCTGCTCTTGGCATGGACTTCCTCTTGAATGGAATCGTATACATTCAGCAGAACGCTGTCACTGTCCTCACTGCTTTGGCTCAGAGCTTCGATTAGCTGCTTCTTCCTCTGGTCGGCCAGAGTCTTCCT